TCAGGGCTACAGGAATGTAGGACGCCCATGGCTAAGATACAAAGACAAGCTGAAAAGCAACTTGTCAGCAGTCAATATACCACATAACACCCTTGAGTGCTTAGCCTTGGAGCGGGTAGACGTGTTTTAGTGGACTCAGTAATTTTCAATCTGCTTGTCTGAATCATCTTCAAGAAGCGAGAGCAAGATTTAAAAGGACAGCCAATCTAACAGTGATCTCATTTCACAATCCGCACACTTGCCCCATATGTGGTCTCCTTCGTAAATCACTAGCGGGTCTTAAATCTCACTTAAGATTATCGCATAAAATTTCATAACTGAATCAATAAGCTGTCAGATCCTCATACGTCGAAACCGAAGGGAGAGTCTATTATTATTATTATTATTATTATTATTATATATAAAAGAGAACATAGAAGTCAACACTTAGAGACCTGACGATTGCATCTAGCATGAAACAGACTGTCGCCTCTTAGTGTTGACTTGTATGTTCCCTTTTATATTTACACACGCACTATCTCTGATATTGAGCACTTTATCCCATAAATATAGCACATCTTAAGACTATATGTCTTTATATATATATATATATATATATATATATATATATATATATATATATATATATATATATATATATATATATATATATATATATATATATATATATATATATGCAGCACTGTACGGAAACATTTAAAACAGCATAGAAATGTACAAAATATAATAAGTGATGTAAGTCTTTATTATAAAAACCTGGAACACTAGCCCTTAACAGCACCATTCATGAACAGGGCCTTAATGCGCTGGACCTAATTGGAAATTAAGAATACGTAGGTATGTGCGTGTGCATGTCCAGACAGTTCGTAGTTTTGCCTGCTTGTTAAGATTCACCCATTCTTTACTCTGCTTTATATTCATGTAAAGACATCATTTTTCTTCCCCCGTTGATAATACGTTAAAGGAATTTCTTTGTACACCCTAGTAGCCTGGTGTCGAACGAATAACCTGGCGGCAATTAAGTGTCGCTCGTCTTTAGTTCTCTACGTCAATGCGCCATGTTCCTGGACCTTAGCCGATGAGTAAAGATGACGAGCGACATTGACATGAGAAAGAATTCCCTTGTGGCCTGGCACGGTTCTTCTTTAACCAGCACATGCAATTGGTTCTCCTCTAACTGAACAGGTTGACCAAAACGCGGACAGCCTGTTAGTTCAAACTGCCCCTACACCTTGAAACGGAAAAAAAAACTATTTCTATGCCATTCTATCGATAATGAAGTCATCGCCATACACAGCACATATGTCTTGAGCAACTTTGACAGCGTTGTGACCTGGATTAAAAGCAGAGATATGTCGAACGTGCGCATTCTAGTCTACTTGGCATTCCATCTCAAACGGGTGTCTCATCTAAAATAAAAGTTTTAGATAAGTTTTCACAGGATGACCAGAAACACTTAGATACCAAAAATTCCACGAAAGGTTATTCTTCGAGATCATTCGCAGAACACCAGAAAAAAAAGGCGAACGAATATATGTATAAACCTAATATTGAGCCTTCCCATATCAAAATACTTTCGACCCTCTCGGTCATTTTCAAGATTTAATCTTTTCAGTTATGTAGAAAATTGATATGTTGATTTACTTCCCTCTAAGAACTGAAGCCCTTTTGAGCGGCTTACACATAACCCCGTCATTGGTACTGGGCATTATCTCCAATTTAGACCCCCACAAGGCTAGTGGTGGAGATGGCATACCAACCATTGTCTTGAAGAAATGCGCGCCTGAGCTAGCGCCCGCCCTCTCTAAACTGTATAATTACTGCCTCAAGGAATCCTGTTTTCCTGACTGCTAGAAGTCCTCATCCATTGTTCCTGTCTTTAAGAACTCTGGAGACCCTCTGACCCCTCTAATTACCGTCCTATTAGTCTCCTACCCCTCTTCGACAAAGTCTTCGAAGCCTTAATCAATGCCGAAGTGGTTAACCACCTTACACCCCATGATCTGCTCTCAGACAAGCAATATGGTTTCCGCTACGCCCGATCTACAGCTGATGTGCTTACGGTCATCACTGAAACCGTCTACCAAGCCCTTCAAAATAACGGTGAGGCTCGTGCCGTGGCCCTAGACATCTCCAAAGCGTTTGATAGGGTTTGGCATGCCGGCCTTATTCGTAAGCTCCAGGGTTATGGTATTACAGGTCGATTGTTTGATCTAATACAATCATTCCTGTCAAACCGTGAATTGAAGGTCTTTCTCAAAGGATTCTCCTCCAGTTCCTATCCCAGGAACGCAGGTGTTCCTCAAGGCTCCATCCTTGGCCCCACTCTATTCCTTATTTTCATCAAAGACCTTCCTGACGCCATAGATTCCCAAGTTGACATCTACGCGGACGACACTACAATTTACTCCTGCCTCAAAAACAAATCTAGTGTCGGTGACAAAACTAACCTGGCCGTGCGTCTTGAAATGGACCTCCAATCGGTTGTTAATTGGGGCAAGAATTTGCTGGTCAACTTTAACGCCTCAAAAACTAAACTACTCTCTATTAATCACCATAAAGATCCTTTCCTGCCCCCCATTAGAATGCCTGATAGTCAACTTCTTGAGAGCAACTCCCTGCATCTGCTCGGCCTCACGTTGACTGCTGACCTGAGATGGAACAAATACATTGAGTCAATTGCTTCTTCCACCGCGAGGAAAGTTGGCTCTCTGTGCCGCGCCAGGAAATTTTTCTCCCCGGAATCGATACTTCAAATATACAAATCAACCATTCGCCCTTGCATGGAGTATTGCTGCCATATATGGTCTGGGGCACCTTCTGTTTACCTGAGAGTCCTTGACAAGATCCAGAGACGGATATGTAATATAATTGGCCCTGATCTGGCGTCTCGTCTACAGTCGCTCTCTCACAGGCGCGCCGTCTTCCCTCTCTGTCTTTTCTACAAATACTTTCATGGTAATTGCTCCGATGAGCTGCTTTCACTGGTTCCCAGACTCCATGAATTCAAGCGCCCTACGAGACTGGCATCCCGCTCCCACCCTCACACTGTAGAAACTTTAAAATGTGGCCGTCTCTTCTACTCCAATAGCTTCATATCTCGCACCTCTCGCCTGTGTAACACCCTTCCCAAATACTGTTTCCCTGAGAGCTATAATCTCCAACTATTCAAATGTAATGACAATCGACACCTCCAGTTACCTTGATCGACCCACTATCATTCTCCTCATCCTTTCTTCTATCACTCCTATCTGCTCTCGCTCCAAATCTTCTGCAACCCCCTGCATCCTAGTGGCTTCACGCCTTGCTCGGGGCGTAATGCTTTAAAAAAAAAATTGGCCTTTCTATATTGAAATATTGGAAAATTTAGACTATCGTACCTGCAAAACAACGGAGTATCAAAACGACGGTTTTTCCCTTGACTCTGCTATTAATTTAACTACCTTCACTCCTTGGCAAAGTTTATTGATTTAAAAAGCGATGATTAGAATTGTAATAAAAACTAAACATATGATGAAAATGAATTTATACATTTTCTTTTGTTCTTGAGAATTTACAAGAAAAACAATAAACACTATTTGTTTATTAGATACTGGAATGGTTGACAAAACATCACCTAATTGCAAATCGATTCGAACTTTATAAAATGGTAAATGTTAATAATGATTTCCTTTTTAATATTTTAGTAAATGTTTAAACATTTATGAATAAAATATTGTTTTCATATTTATTTCTCTATAAATTGGTAAATGATAAATATTGCATTGCATTAGTTTTAATAAAATCGTATTAGATTTTAAATTGTTTTAAAATTATTCTTGTAAATAAACAATCTAATAAATATTGTTTAATATTTTGGTTGTAAATTCACAAGAACAAAAAAATATATAAATATACTTCTGTCTTATATTTAATAAACATTGCTGGGGAGTGAAGGTAGTTAAAATAAGGGAAAAATAAGTGTCAAGGGAAAAACCCTTTTTATGACAAACCATTTTTTTGCAGGCGTGAATGTTAAGGATTACTGAAAAAATGTTTGAAGTCTAAAAATGATTCATCAAAGACTTCCCTTAAACCAAAGATTATCCAGATAAATTTCTATACGTGCTTGATTTTGATTATATCCAATATGTAGCTTACAATTTGAGTTGTCTTTTTTGCTGACAACCATACAATACAGACTGTCTTCTTGTAATTAGTCCTTTCTTCTCTAATGCTACGGTTTTCTAACAACAAACATTCCTTCTTCAGACAAATGTACATGCTGAATACTTACATTCCCAAGAGATTTCAGTGACGAAGCCTGCGCTAATGGGCCATTAAACACTTCCCAGATAAGACAACCCAAACCCCAAACATCAGCTGACCTGAAAACAAGAAAAGAAAAAGAAATAAAATGACAAACACTATTTGTTTATTAGATTGAAAACATCGACTAAAATTCAAATCGTTTCGAACTTTATAAAATGGTAAATATTAATAAGGGTGGTTCACATATTTTAATATTTTAATAAATGTTTATAAATTTATGAATAAAACATTGTCTTCATATTTATTTCTTTATAAAGAAGGTAAATGATAAATATTGCATTGTATTAGTTTTAGTACAATCTTAGTAAGCTGTAAATTTACATATTAGAATGTATAAATTCACATTCATCATATGTTTAGGTGTTATTAAAATTCTAATCATCGCTTTTAAAAAAAGGAGTGAAAGTAGTTAAAATAATAGCGGCGATAAGAGAAAAACTGTCTATTTGAGCACTTTCCCAGGCGTGACGAACGTAACTAATAATAACAAAAAACAGAATGTTCTTAGCAACTGGAGAAATGTAGAGAAATATGAAAATAGCGTTCTCTACATTCCTCCATCCTTTTGTTACGTTCGTTAATTAAATTCATTTCGTTTTTGTTTTTTTTGTTGTTTTTTTTCTTTGTTTTTTTTTTTTTTTTTGCTTTGAGAAAGTCCACATTGGACGAAACGCGTCAGCAATAACTACAGTTTTTTCTATTGTCATTTAGATAGATAGATAGATAGATAGATAGATAGATAGGTAAATCAAAACTTATGATCGACAATATAGTACACAAACTCCACAAGCAACAGGCTTTTATTACCGTTAAGTATCACAAGCAATTTCTCCAACAACCCACAGTTCCGATTTCTTAACCCCTCTAAGAATAATATAGGCAAGATCAGTAAAGCTATATTTGAACGAGCCTGTAATTACACCTGGAATGCAACAGGAGTCAACCAGTGGGGAAATACCAAAGACGCTATAAATTGGCTCGCTAATATTAAAAATAAAAGTAATGTACTTAATGTACTTTTATACAATTTGGTATATCCAATTTTTACCCTTCGATCACTGAAGACCTACTAATGGCTGCTATAAACCTGGCGAAGAATTATTGCACTATAACCAACGGGGATATCATCATAATCATACAGGCCCAGAAACCCACCCTATCCCACGATGGTTCCTTGTGCAGCAAAATAAACAATCCCAACCTCTCTATAGCGATGGGTGAGTTCGACTCTACGGAAGCTTGTGAGCTAGTCGGCATTCTACTTCTATGGAAGCTCAGATATATTTTCGAGAGTGAGAACACTGGACTGTACAGGGACGACTTAGTAATCGTACTACGCAACTCTAAGCCACGAAAACTGACAGGCTAAGGAAACAACTAATCAAATTCTTTAAGGATCACGGACTTAACATCACCACTGTTACCAACGTCAAGTTGATCAATTTTCTTGGACGCTACATTCGATCTATCCAGAGGAGTGTAAATGCCTTATAATAAGGGACTTGGGCACCTCGAGGCGACGTAATGGTTAGCAAGCTTGTCTCGCTTTGAAACATTACGACTGAGTAGTGAGTTCGTTCCTCATTAGGTGCCCCATACTTTCGGCCTTGTGCCACATCTAAGCTACGCTTGGAAAATCTCTATTATAAGGGACTTTATAATCATGCATATATTAGTAAAGAATCTAATCATCCGCCGTGTATCCTTAATAACAGCTACAAATTTGTACAATCTTTGACAAATACAAATATGTTTATGTATTAAGTAAGAGTAAGCACAGTGTTAAACTGAAATACATGCATTTACCAACAGTAAATCTACAAACAGAAAACGAAACATTATTTGGTTCAATCCACCTTTCAACAGAAACGTTCCGGACCAACATCGGTAAAATCTTTCTTAGATTAGTAGACAAACATTTTAGTCATAATCTCTTACTCAGAAAAATCTTCAACAAAAACAACGTTAAAGTTAGCTACAACTGCACCAAAAACCTTGAACAATCTTTAACCCAATACAATATTATAACCCTTAGCAAATTTCTAAGCAGCACTAGTAGCAATGATAGCTCTGATGATCAAAAATGTAATTGCCGTAAAGATATTATCTGTCCAATGAACGGTAAATGCATGTATAAAGAAGTAATATATAAGGCTAGCGTCAAACACAGTGACCTGATTAAATTTTATTTCGTATCGACAGCTAATAATTGGAAAAGGCGTTTCTATCATTACAAAATGACTCTTAGCAACAAAAAATATGCAAACGCCTCAGCACACTTTAAGTTTTAGTGGAGTATCAAAACAGATGCCAATAAACTTCATGTAAATTGGGAATTCGTATCCCAGACCAAACCATTTTCCGGTAGAGGGCGGGCGTTGCAACCTGCGCCTTTTAGGAAAAAAATTCATCCTCGATAATATTAACAATTATAGTCTGCTTAATAAACGGAACGGGCTAATATCCTGCAAACACAGAAAATCGTTTCTCTTGAAATACTGGAAACCAGGCTAAATTTCTCTTTTTTTTTTTCTTAAATTTTTCTTAAATTTAAAATTTTTCTTTGATCAAGCTTTAGGTTTCATACCGTTTATCCCCCTTTGATCTGGCAAACGTTAGAGCGGCGTTTCCAGCAATAATTTTAAATTTCTATTTTTTCCTTTATTTTTTTTTTAATTTTTTACTCCTTCTTGAGAATGAAGCATATCTGCACTTCATTTCCTGCATCTTTTGTAATATTTTATTTTTATTTTTGGAATATAATCAGGGTTTCTCCCATATCAGCTGGAAAACCTGCGAAACTTAAGTCGCGCACCAAAACATATATGTGTATTTATTAATATATATATATATATATATATATATATATATATAGTTAAAACCTACTAAGGGTACCTTGGTATGTTTGTCTGGCTCTCTAGGTTTACCTAGGTCTGCTCTACTTACTGTATTGAGCACTTTATTTAGTTATTTAGCGTACTCGCATCAGGGTTTTTTTTTTCTTTGGGATTTGGACTTGCATGCTAGACGATTATTTTCGGTTAACGTACATGTTCTTGGTTCTTTCGTTTTTTTATACCTTTTTTCCCTTTGGTATTGGCTTGTTTATTTCCAAATCAAGACACCGAAGGTTTTCCGAGCGAGTATAGTTTCTTATACTTATGAGATTTCTATTAATAATATATATATATATATATATATATATTTCTTAGGTTTAATGTGATATTCAACCTAAGAAAAGGTACATATCACCCATAACGAAAACCTAACGGCAATCCAGTCCATATGCACATATTTTCCAACCACTCGCCATCAATAATCAAGCAGAGCCCACAATCGATGAACCGCAGGTTATCTGACAATTCATCTAGTGAAACTATCCTTCAACAGACCCAGAAATTATTATGACACAGTCCTAAATGAGAGTAGATTGTCGGCAATACTCACATACACACCACAAAAAAGCGAACAGGAAGGAAAAATCATATGAATTAACCTACCGTACAATAAAAACGTAAAAGCGAACGTAGGAACAATAGTAATTAAACTCATTCACAAAAACTTTCCCGTTCCATTGAGCACTTTCCACAACATATTCAAGAAAAAAAATCAGATACAGTTACACCGAGAACATGAGACAAATAATAATAATAAAAAACAACGAGAAAACAACTAACAAACCACCTACACAAATCAAACCCACGTGTAACTGCAGAGCAAAGAACAAATGTCCCTTAAATGACAAATGATTACAGAACAATGTAGTATACTAAGTCACTGTAAATTTAGCAGGTAACAAGGAAAAATATACATAGGAGTAACAGAAGTAACTTGAAAACAAATAAACTATCCACACCAAACATATTTCATAAATATTAAATACGCAAACAGCACAATGTTTTCTAAACATTTATGTGAAATTAAAAACAAAAAACAAATCACAACAAATATATCGTGGAAAATAAAAAAAAAACAGCATCAGCCTACAACAATAAATCCACAAACTGTCAACTCTGTCTGGAGGAGAAAATAGCCATAAGTACCTTCCCAGATTAATGCATATTGCTAAATAGACGATTAGATCTCATTTCAAAATGCAGACACGTAAACAAATTTTAACTACGTTACTTAAAATTCAAATAACTAATAACGAATAAAGAAATAAAAGTAAACTGATAAAATAAAATAAAATATAAATTTATTATAAATATAATAAATTAATCCAAATGAATAAATAAGTAAATAAATTAAGTAAATAATAAATAAATTAACAAATATAAACACAAGTAAACATAATAATAACAACATTAATAATGCAACCAATAAATAATGTTAGCCACAAAACCACGGATCCACAATTATTTCTACTCAGTAGCTCCTAGAAGAATGTGAAACATAACTGTTACTGCGCAGCCAAAACCTGTTAAAATATAACTACCAATAATAGATTACTGACCAGCATATATAAATAGTCGAGCCAAAACACAAGCACGTAATCGGAAGATTGCGGTTAAGCATGAAACAGACTGTCGCCGGATGTTTAAATAAATATAGCATACCTGAAAAGTATATTTTTTATCATATATATATATATATATATATATATATATATATATATACATGAATTATTCATACAAAACTAATGCAAAGGTTAATGATTTAAATGGCAAGACATCCATCTTGCAAACGATTCAAATAGTACACAAAAACCTCTAAATCCGTTATGCATGAGTTGATCCTTGTTTATATAAATTTCTGCCGTATTAGTTGTTATTTTTACTACAAGCTTTCGTCTGTTCCTACAGACATCGTCAGGTATATAATAGATGTTGTTCTTGGTTTTTTCTCTTAGTAATAAGAGGACATCGAAAAATATATGTATTGTATCCGAAATGCTATTAAAAATGAGTTATTGGTTTTTGAACGCGCCAAAGCAACGATGAGTTTGATTTTGAATACGGCAGAAATTTATATAAACAAGGATCAACTCATGCATAACGGATTTAGAGGTTTTTGTGTACTATTTGAATCGTTTGCAAGATGGATGTCTTGCCATTTAAATCATTAACCTTTGCATTAGTTTTGTATGAATAATTCATGTATTTGTTAATTGATTGCGTTTATTTATATATATATATATATATATATATATATATATATATATTATTTAAGTAATAAATATGTACATTTGAAATAAATCTTTAGAAATATATATTATTAGATGCGCAGACTTGTTCAGTTGTATTCATTAAATTTTTATTCCTTTAGTTTAACGTATTCCAGCGTCTCGCATGCACGAGTTTGGCGTTGCTTGGAAATCTTCCATGCAAACAAAAACAGACTAACATTGTTGCTATGTCCGTGTATTGTTTAATTTATTGTAATGTAATTGTCATCTTTGATGATGTCTTATGTAAGCCGAAAACTTAGATAGTATTTAAAAAAAAAACATGTATTAATATGGTGATTTTCTTTCGTCATTCAATGATAGTGTTATCAGACGATATGAAAGGAATTTGCTTAAAGTAAATAGACAAAACTTGTCTATATTATTTAATGAAACATGCATCAATATATATATATATATATATATATATATATATATATATATATATATGAGAAACTATCTATTACTAGGTTTATATATAAAATATAAAAATTTAAAATTTACTGAATCAGAGAAATTAAATAGCTATTTTTTGCCGTCGATGTCAAAAAATTTTACTTAAATAATATTTTGAAGAATAAAATCTTTAAAAAAAAATGTGACCTGGTAATATACACACTTATATTTGATATGGAAATATAAATTTATATATTCGAAGTAATTCCATTACATTTACTTGTTTTAAGAAGAAACATAGTCTATTAAAAATTAAAAGGAAAAATATATTAAAATTGTTTATTAAATAAAACGTATTCTAACCTGAACATCCCACCCAAAAATCTTTAAGTATACAAATAGAAAAAATACCGTAAGAATTTTTGCCGTTAACAATAAAATAAAATAATAAAAAAAAAAACCAGACATGAATTTAATGGATGTCAAAAATCGTTGAAAAATACATCCCTACCCGTACCTAAACTCCTTTTCGAATGTAACAAATAACTAATACAACAAAAATTAATAAAAATGAACACGCTACCACCCCTTGTCTGGTTGATTGGATTTCTCTGTATCCTTGGTAACCGTAAATTATGAATTTCTCTTGCAGTTAAAACTCAGTTAATTTAAAAAATAAGTTACTCCAAAATTCGCTTGAGGATGAAATGAAACTAATGTTTTTAATTTAATTACAAAATTAAATTGAAAGTTTTTAGCTTCCATTTTTTCAAACATGCTTATTACTGTGTAGCGAAAAAAACATTTTAAATCAGTTAGTTTATAATATGAATGCGCTGTAAATTTACATTGAGCACTATTTTGAAAAAATAAAAAATAAAAATATCAATAAGAACACTGAATTACATATCTTACTGTTCTTTATATATATATATATATATATATATATATATGGGAGAAAGTGATAAAAATATAAACAAAAATAATCTAAATGATGCACATATTTTTTTTAATCTAAATTTCTGAATTATAATTTCAGCGTCCCCTCTTCGTTATTTTTAGTGGTTACCCATATTTAAGTAGACGCTACGTTCATTATGCCAGAGGGTCCATTTTTCTTCAATAAGATTTCTCCAATATTCAGAACAGTACACGAAAATAAATACTGTTTACAAAATAAATGGTAGCCTCTCCTTAAAAATGGGAATCCACTAAAAATAACGTTTAAAGTAATAAAAAATATATCGGATTAATAAACAAAATCCATTACTACTTTTATATATATATATATATATGTGTGTGTGTGTGTGTGTGTGTGTGTGTGTGTGTGTGTGTGTGTGTGTGTGTGTTATTATTATAAGATATGACGATCTGTCTAAGTTCAGGTGTATCATGTCTTGTAAAAATAACTCCCCCACCTCCACCCTCTGGGCTTAATTTTCTATTATAGCGTAGATCTGATATTTAATTGGTTGATCAAGACAAACCCACAAGTCTAGTTTTAACTCTCACCCCACCCTTTATCATTCGGAAAAGATGTAACATATATATATATATATCATCGAGTTTTCTTTGGGGCACCGAATGAAGCTGCATTCACTTATCAGTAGTAATGGTCAAATAGAACCCCGCTGCCTTATGTGCTACTCCGCGGCGTGTTACATATGACCCACCTGAGATAGATAGTTATGAACAGATTGAGATAGTTAGATATGAACAAATTGAGATAGATAGATAGATAGATAGATAGATAGATAGATAGATATGAACAAACTGAGATAGATATCTTCAGTATTTTTATGCAAATAAAATGTTAGGGATTCGGAAATCGGGCTCTTCAATTATTTTTACAGTTATGAGCTTCCATAATTCTTTCATTTGCAACGTTAACAATCTTCAGCAGACATTAACAGAAGCACGTTTTCTGCGTGAGAAAACTATGATGTATCCATTATAAACGTCCACATCTTCTTCAAGATGTAGACGATTATGGGTCTCGACTACGTCGTGTATTTTGTTTCTCAAGGTAAATTTTGTTTTTTATTTGTTCATCTTCTCTTATCCATTTCTAAATACCCATTTAGTATGTTACAAGATAATTTCCCTGCTTCTTTTAGCTTCATTTTGTCTTGTTCGTGTTAGATTCTCCATGCCTACTTTCCTATTTACATGTCTTAGAATTTTGAAATTGCCATTTTCTTTTGAAGAAAAGGTTTAATCACATGAGGGACATAATACAATAATAGCAAATACCGTAGTTCAGTGCGGCAATGCGTACAACTCAACGCTACGACCAACTTTGCAACCACCTTTTCTATGAGCAGACGTTCCTACTCAAAGCAAATGGACGAGTGTATGTTCAATAACTAGTGGAGAAAGTATGTCGTCTTTTTACACAACACCTTTTTAAAATGAGCATTCTTATGAATATTTTCTTCTTTAGGATTCACTTCAGTTGGATTTCTTTTACTAACGCAATATGTTCTAAACTATTGCACATTTCCATATGTAAATGTCTTCGTTGGCTTTTTATTTCCTTACCATATCAGTTATGTGCCATGCGTGATACACGCTTAGGCGATCATGTATTTTTCGATACATGACTGACGAGGCAGATTTTTCACCCTCTTCCCAACTTTCATTACTTTCCTTGTAAATCCAGAAGAAAACATTATCTTCAGCTTTGAAAGATTTTATACTTAATTTTGTACTATGCCAACATTTAATTTTCTTCCAGATAGTAACATCCGCATTTTCTTCCAGGTAGTAACATCGATATAGTATTAGAGTTACGTAGCCAGTCTATAAATTCTTAAAAACTGTTGGAGCATTATTTTGTCGTGTCCCCTAAAATATCAAATACAATATTTATAAACCAATCACACTCAAGAAAACACTTGCATCTTAAAACACACCAATAAAATCATAGATTACAAATCGGAATGTTTGTTGTAATAGTCATCATCATTTTTAAGTAGATACCGACCAAGTATCGTACGGACGTAGTAGAGGACATACCACGTGACTTCTTAGGGCCAATTATAAATAAATAAATAATTTAATTCTGGAGCCGATTTTGTTACGAAAAAGTGTATAAAAGCATACGAAATCTGTTCCCAAACGAGAATACACGCGGCTGTCACCAAAATCCACACACCTTTCGCTGATGATCTTCATGACCTCATGTTAAAAGCGACAGCGTTGACAAACTCCAGACCACGGCAACACCGCCAACAGTAAGAAACAATTTCTATCTCTCGTATCCGCTTTTACTATGACTCACGCACACACATGTTGATTTTTTCATACAAACACACATATCACAACATTTTATCGTTTCTCACACGCGTACACAAAGAGAATTTATATTTTATTTCAGAACTTTATCAACCCAAACAAAAAGACATTATTTTCCAATCTATCATAACTGTTTGTATTCTTGTCGTTATATTAAATTGATGTTTATTTGTTGAAACTACGTTGTCTTTTCTACTGAATTTTATTCCTTCAATGAAAATCGTGTGATTATTCTAGTCGTTCAAATTATGAGCGACTCTGTCACGATATCTTGTTAATGTATCGAATTCCGACACTCCAAATTTTAACATTTAACGAAAAACCGAATAGAAGGATTCCTACAATTTCTTCCATCTCCCCCCCTCCCTGTTTGATTTCTTTAATGCCGTTTTGAACGTATCAAAAAAACGTTCAGCCTGACCATTTGGTCATAAGTGGGATGGCAGCGCTGTTATATGTCTAACTGCGTAGTATTTGCAAAGATTCTGTAAGTCATTTGAAGTAAATGGCATCCTATTATCAGACAGTATAGTATCTAGAACAATGAACATTGAAAACAGTTCATGACGAAATCTTATATTAACAGTGGATGTAGATCTTCTATACATAAATATTTCAGGCCATTTTGAAAAACCTTCGTTGACAATACGTACCATTCAAAGTCCTACGTAATCAACGTGCAACCTAAACAAAGGTTTATCCGTGTTACGCCAGAGAAGATAATTTACAGGTCTTAATTTTGCCGCTAAAGCAAAACTTAACGAAATTTTGAATATCCTTGTTCATTTTAGGCTAATATACGGAATTTCTCATAAGGGATTTCATTCTTGACATTCCAAGGTGTCCAAAATCAAACTGCTTTAAAATTATTTTTTTTGCAAGGAAGCAAGAAGTACTACTCTTTCAGCATGCAAAAATGCTCATTATTTTCCAAGACCTTCAGAGAACACTGCAGTAAAATTCTTTTTTAACTCCTTTAAAAACTGAGTCGCCATATTTGTTTTAGAGGAAAAGTAATTCACCCTTTTTACAGAACGAATTTACGAGCCGACTCCACAAATCGAACAGCTTCATTCAATCCGAGCTCAGTAAGACCTGGTTTATTTTTTCTTTCTTTCCATTTGACACATTTCGTTCATCATTCTCAAAATTTAGTCATCCTTCTTGGATTATATTTTAATTTCGTCTAATGTCACGAGTAGTTCCCTTTTTGTGTTACACAAAAGTCTTTTAATCTCATTTTCAGAAAAAGAAGCAATAGCCTTCTACTCAAAAGGTTCTTTAAATTTTGGAATTAATCTGGACAAGCCATCTGCATGTCCCAAGTTCTTTAATGGTAAATATTCCATGTTAAAATCATAGTTCAGCAAAATCGTTCCCCAATGTTGCAACTTATTTGAGGTAAGTGTCGGAATTCCTTTTTAGAACCCAAAATAGGTAATAATGGGTGGTGATCTGATTGCATAATAAATGTTCTATCGTGTATCGTTTTACGAATTTCTTTCACTACAAAAATAATAGCGCTTCTTTTTTTTTTTTATTCGATTACAATATCTTTCAGCCGCTATTAGCGTTCTGCATTGGTTACAGCTTTTATTTTACCATTTCTGGAATGTATGACAAATAACTGCTCCAGTGTTATAATCGCTAGCATCTGATGCTACAATCATTTCTAAATCAGGAGTGAAATGCGTTAACGATAATTCAGATGTTAACATGTCTTCAATGATTTTTGACATTCATCGGACCAATTCCAGACCCCACCTTTTTTCAATAATTTATTTAACGGCGCTCTCAATTTATGCATGTTTCGCACATAAAGACTGTAATAGCTTGAAAGCCCCAGAAATGATTGAAAAGTAGCAACGCTCGTCGAAGCAAGCATATTTTAATAGCACTCGTCCTTAATGAATCTGGTCCACGCCTATTGCATCAATTATTTTTCCCAGGTATTTTATATTGCTCCTGAAAATTGGCATTTCTCCTCACTGAATTGGAACCTGTAATACTCTATTCTCTGGAATACTTGTTGTATGTGTTTTGAATGTTGCTGTCTAATTTCTCTTTTCGTCCAAATGTGCCACCTAGCATCGTATCTATTACTTGCTGTAAAATGCTAGGCGCCGCTTTGGACCCTGAACGGTAAAAACCTGTATAGACCCTTGTATGCGTTAACTGTTAACATTATTTTACATTTTTCATACACTTCAAGTTGTATGCGTCTGACAAGTCAGTTTTTGAAAAGAGTATTTCCCCAGTTAATTTAGAAAAAAAAAATCTGTGGATTGTAACGTATATGTGTGAGGTAGTAGACACTCATTTAACTCTGTAGAAACGTTTGTGCATACACGAATATTATTTTTTTAGTATACACTGTTGGTTCTGAATAATCTGTCAGCGAATTAACTTCTAAAGTTTTTAATCTATCAAGTTCTTTGTTAATGGGCTCCACAATTGCAAAAGCACACTACGTTTAAGTTTAAAAACAGGAACTACATTTTCCTTTCAGTTAAAAATTGCCTTCGCCTTAGTATATTTTCCAAGACCTTCAGAGAACACTGCAGTAAAATTCTTTTTCACCTCCTTTAAAAACTTTGAGTCGCCATATTTGTTTTAGAGGAGGAGTAATTCACCCTTTTTACAGAACGAATTTACGAGCCGACTCCACAAATCGAACAGCTTCATTCAATCTGCGCTCAGTAAGACCTGGTTTATTTTTTAATACGACTGACTTAGTTTTTAAAGTCTTACCAGCTCACAAGACATTACATGCAATTTCGCCTCGAAGACATTTTTACCCTGAGACGCCACGTACAGCTTTTTGGTTTTCATTAATCTAGGTTCAGCAATAATTTTACCGGACTTTTAATTAATTATAGGTATGACACTGCCTGTGTTTAGTTGATTTTTTTTCTTTAACATCATTCATCTCAACCTTTTTTTCTGTTCAACTAAATTTTCTGTTCTGATTCTTTCAGATTTTGAATTGTCAATACATTTTTTTACTGTATTAAAGTCTTACATATTTTCTTTGCTTTTACTTTTACTTTGTCTATGACCCAGTCTTACCACATTGGAAACACGTTTTATTTTTGAATGGGCAATCCGCCTTAAAAGGAAGTCCCCCGAAACCGTAACACGGATTCGTTGCAGCCATTTTTTTTTTCCTTTTTGGTTGCACTATCTGCATTTGTACAATATCCCTTTCTTCAATTCTTATAGTATCGTATCTTAAATTTAGAATTCTTTGACATTCTTGTTCCACTGTCTGTAAGCTTCATTTTTGGTCATGCTCAATTTTGGTTCGAACGCGTTTATGCGTCTTTACTCGAAGTTAAACATTGCACAAAAATAAAAAATAAAAAATTCACATATCTGGAGATAATTCATTCAGTTTAATTTTTTTCGCATTCCTGAAATTTAGTGCTCTTGATAAATCGCTATTCTGGGAGATACCCTCCCCACTGGATGATTAAAGTATAAATCACGAGATGAAACTTTTACAACAATATCTATTAACCCTATAATGTGCCCAGGTTAAAATCAGCATCGTCTCTCAAGTTGTTGATA